CCATTCTCTCTTCCCCTTGTTTTAGGGGCTGCACCAGCCATGTGGCAAGTAAGGGAGAGATGCCCCCAAGGGGGCACGATCGAAACCGAAGAGGGCTGGTATCGAGGGCTTGGAATACACGTGCTGCATAGCATGCGAGCAGGTACGAGCGAACAGTCTTGGAATGATGGTTGAATTCCTATTGCTAAGGAACACTTGCTGTTGATCGAAGTGCTCCTCCCAGGGCTCGCACCTGCATTTCCTCCTCGAGCTGTTGCGGCTCCCGCCTTATACGTCCTCACAATGTCAGCCAACATCGCGCTCCCGCGCGGGACTTTTCTCACACGTTGCGCGGAAATCGTGCTCTCGCGTGGGACCTCTTTGCAATCTCTTGCGGCGCCGTGCCGCCCCCCCCCCCCCCACACACACACACACACATTCAGGAATTACGCCCTCGCCTTCGATTTCCACACGAGTTCCTGGAGAATCGAGCTATGATTAAGTCGGGCCTGTCCCTCTACAGGAGGACGATTCAAACATGGTAAACAAAGAATCTGGAAACGATTGTTTACCATCCCCAACCATCCTGTGGTGTTGGGTCCTCGTTTTGAAGAGAGCGCCCCGCGTCTCGCCTCTCCTCTCCTCTCCTCTCCTCTCCTCTCTTCTCCTCCTCCCCCTTCTCCCCCTCCTCCCTCCTCCCATACGCCTCGTCACTTCCCTGCGCTTCACCCACCCAGGAAAACGTTTCGTGGCCACATGGGGAGCGCCACCGAAAGCTACGATGGCAGTGTCCGCATGGGTCAGCGCCGCCCAAGACAGCGCTTCGTGGCCCCATAGGGAGCTCCACCGAAGGCTCCAGTGGCAGGGTCCGCATGCGTCAACGCCACCCAGGACAGCGCTTCGTGGCCCCATAGGGAGCTCTACCGAAGGCTCCAGTGGCAGGGCCCGCATGCATCAACGAAACCCAGGACAGCGCTTCCTGGCCCCATAGGGAGCTCCACCGAAGGCTCCAGTGGCAGGGTCCGCATGCGTCAGAGCCACCAAAGGGCAGCGTTTCGTGGCCCCATCAGGAGCCCCACCGAAGGCTCCAGTGGCAGGGTCCGCATGCGTTGACACCACCCAGGACAGCGTTTCGTGGCCCCATATGGAGCTCCACCAGAGGCTCCGGTGGCAGGGTCCGCGTGCGTCAACGCCACCCAGGGTAGCCCTTCGTGGCCCCATATGGAGCTCCACCGGAGGCTCCAGTGGCAATGTCCGCGTGCGTCAACGCCTCCCAGGGTAGCCCTTCGTGGCCCCATATGGAGCTCCACCGGAGGCTCCAGTGGCAGGGTCCGGACGTGGCAACGCCACCCAGGGCAGCGCTTCGTGGCCCCATAGGGAGCTCCACCGAAGGCTCCAGTGGCAGGGTCCGCATGCGTCAGCGCCACCCAAGACAGTGCTCCGTGGCCCCGTAGGAAGCTCCACCGAAGGCCCCAGTGGCGGTGTCCACATGCGTCCGCGCCACCGATTTTTGCGCACCCCTCGCACGCTTCGTGGCCCCATAAAGGAGCTCCACCGAACGCGGTGCCTACAATGCGGCACTCGCAGCTGCATATGATTGGGTCCTTCGTCAGGCTATGTTTTAGTCTTTTTGGATTAAGGTTGGAGCATATTTTCGTTTTTCGCCCAAAAACTGCCCGTAGGGGGACATGCCCGACCTAAGAATCACGCCGGGTTGACGCTTCGACGACCCGCCCACTCGACCTTCGGCCGCCTGGGCCTGCCTGTCCGCCCGCCCTGCCTGTGAGAGGGCCCGACCCTCCCGTCTGGGCTCTGCCGCCCGCGCTCCTGCGCCCAGCCCCCCTCCTGCACATCTCTCTCGACCTTCTCTTTCGATCTCCATCTCTCCGTCCTTCGCCCTCCATTTCCTCCTCCTCCTCCTCCTCCTCCTCCTCCTCCTCCTCTTCCTCCTCCCCCTCCTCCGCCTCCTCCTCCTCCTCCATCTCCTCCTCCTCCTCCTCCTCTCCTCCTCCTCCTCCTCCTCCTCCTCCTCCCTCCTCCTCCTCCTCCTCCTCCTGCTCCGCCTCCTCCATTACCTTCTCCTCCTCCTCCTCCTCCTCCTCCTCCTCCTCCCTCTCCTCCTCCTCCTCCTCCTCCTCCTCTTCTTCCTCCTCCTCCTCCCCCTCAGTCCGCCCCGGAGGGGCACCCCCATAAGCGGGGTGTCGGGCCAAAGTGCCCCCTGGTGCAGGCGCGGAGCACTGGGCCTTCGGGGTCCAAGCCCCCGCGCCCGGCCGTTCCTTCCCGGGGGGCTGCCAGGTCCCGTGGCCTCCCCCAGGGCGGTGCGGGAGCTCCTTCCCCGCAATCGCCGCCTTGGGGCGGGACTGGCTGTCCTTCTCCCCGTCGTATCGTGTCGTTGTCGTTGTCGTCGTCGTCGTCGTCGTCGTCGTCGTCGTCGTCGTCGTTTCGTGGGTCCTGGGGTCCGGGTCTTTTTTTTCCCTGCCCCTTGGGCGCGCGGGTGGCCTTGCCGTTCGGCCTCCCCCTTCGTGGGGGCGGCTCCGTTCGGTTGGGGCCTCCCGCCTGCCCGTGGGGCGGGGCCTTTTCCCCGTCGCGCGTGGGCGGTTTCGCCCGTCGCCCGCGTGGGCGGGGCGCCGCGGCCGCGCCGTCGGCCGTGCGCGACACGGCGTGGGCCGCCGCGCGCTGTGGAAACAAAAAATCCCCCCCCCTCAATTCCTCCTCGTCCTCCTCCTCCTCCTCCTCCTCCTCCTCCTCCTCCTCCTCCTCATCTCCTCCTCCTCCTCCTCCTCCTCCTCCTCCTCCTCCTCCTCCTCCTCCCTCCTCCCCCTCCCCCTCCCCCTCCTCCTCCCCCTCTTTCCTCCTCCTCCTCCCCCTCCTCCTCCCCCCCTCCTCCTCCTCCTCCTCCTCCTCCTCCTCCTCCTCCTCCTCCTCCTCCTCCTCCTCCTCCTCCCTCCTCCTCCCTCCCCCCCCTCCTCCCCCCCCCCCCTCCTCCTCCAACGGGCCGGAGCTGGCGGTGTCCCAGGATCGAGCCGCATCGTAGATGAAGCGACGACGCGCTGCTCGGTCCAAAGCCCGATGTTCTCCCTCCCGATGTCGCAGACGCATCGCCGTCGAGGCGCCGGCTGGGGCGTGCGACTCCTTCAGCCTGACGCAACACTGGTGCCCCTCAGTATCGTTTAACCGATCCCCATCCCCGACGCCCATTCGAATCCTGATCCCCACCATCCCACCTCCCCACTTGAGGGCACGCCCGTCGAAACCCGAAGGGAACAGCCTAACTACACGAAGCGCCGACGGGACGCCAACTGGACACCGACAGGACACCGACGGGACATCATGGTCCATTTCATTATCGATATCACAATCGATCTCATTCGATCCATCTCACTACAGATCTAACCATAGATCTCACAATCGATCGCACCATCCCTTTCATAATCGATCTAATTGTCGATATCTGTTTTCGCCCGCACGTTCGATATCACTACCGGTATCACTATCGATCTCACTATCGATTTCAATCTAGATCTCACTATCGACCTCAACGTCGGTCTTACAATCGATCTCGATTTCGGTCTTACGATCGATCCCACCACAATTCGCAATAAGGGGACACCGACAGGACAGCGACGGGATCACAACTGGACACCGACGGGACACCACGGCGGGCCAACCTGGCCACCGCCCGCCAACTTGGGCAGGTTCGGACAAGTGTCTTGCCCCGCCTGAGAAACAACGGAGTCATTCCCCCTCGCCCGCCCACGCAGCTTCGCCTCGCCCGCACGCACGACACGATTCCGAAGTCGAAGTCGATTTCTCGGCGGGGGGCTTTCCGTTCCACTCCGATCTCGGCCCCGCAGCCTCTGATATCCTCACCCTTGGTTGCGACTCGGCCAGTGGGGCCCAGGCCACGCCGGCGGGCATAGGTATCGATTGCACGGTGTTCATCCCCAGGATCGTCAGTGACCGCGTCACTCGCCTCCTCTCGGTGCCGATCCCTCCGTGTTCCCGCAGCTCCCAAGGGCACGTCCCCAGGAATGCCGCCTTCAGGGGCCCGTCAGTCTCGGGGGCAGGGAGGCCCCCGCCCTCCTCCCCCTCCTCTGCATCCTCATTATCCTCCTTTTCCGCCTCTTCCTCCTCCTCCTCCGCCTTCTCCTCCTCCTCCTCCTCCTCCTCCTCCTCTTCCTTTTCCCCCTCCTCCTCCTCCTCCTCCGCCTCTGCCGCCTCCTCCTCCTCCTCCGCCTCCTCCTCCTCCGCCTCCTCCTCCTCCTCCTCACCCTCCTCCTCCTCCTCCTCCTCCTCCTCCCCCTCCTCCTCCTCCTCCTCCTCCTCCTCCTCCTCCTCCTCCTCCCCCTCCTCGAGGCCTGTGAGTCTGGCGAGTGCAGGACGGCGGCTCAGAAATGCCCGGGGGGCAGCCCGTCACGCAGCAGCGCCTGGGGAGAGGACTCACAGAGTTGGGCTGCAGGCCTGCCCGTGGGCGTCTCCGTCGCCACGATGTCGTGGTCGGCCTCTGCTGCGTCATCCCAGCGGCAGAAGGCTACAGTGGGGGCGTTCGTTAAGGAATGTGCACAGGAGGCTTCAGACCCTGGAGGATTCCGTGTCTGGTGAGGGCGGCGGTGCTGTCCATGGCCAAACATCAGTTGGAGTTTCACGGGCTTCCAGACCCTGGATTTCTTATCGAAGGGTTCCTTATCCAATGCCCCCACCGTATCTTTGGAAGACCGTTTCCCGCGGAGTGCTCTCTGAACCGCCACCCTGCGTTCAGAGTGGCTCCGCCCTGGGCCTGTGAGCCTCGGTGGCAGGGATGAGCTCGCGGCTGGCCAGAGTCCGGAGGGAAGGAAACACACGGACACAATGAGCCGTCGACCCCGAGGATAGCTCATGCGGGAAGCTATGGGGTGTGTGTGGGGGGGGGGGAAGGCGAAACCCAGAAGGTATGGGAAGATGTGGGGAATCTGGGGATTTGTGTGTGTGTGTGTGTTCATTTGTGTGCCCCTGGGCCACTTTGGAGACACCCCCGCGGGGAGGTGTACAACACCGGGAACTCGGACGCGGTGGGGAGCGCGGACGGCAGCGCGGTCAAGGGAGGCGGGCCGCCGCGAGAGCCTGCCCCAGCTCGCCAAGAGATTCGGCGTCTCTCCCTATTTCTCTCTCTCTCTCTCTCTCCTTGTCACTTTCTCTCTCTCTCTCTCTCCCTCCCTCCCTCCCTCTCCCTCCCTGTCTCCCTCTCTCTCTGTCTCTCTCCTCATCTCTCTCCCTCTATCTCCCTCTGTCTCTCTCTCTCTCTCTCTCCTTCTCTCTGTCTCTTTCTCTCTCTCTCTCCCTCTTTCTCTCCCTGTTTTCCTTTCTTCCTCCCTCCCTCGGTGTCATTCTGCTTCTGAGGCCAATGAAGAAGATGAAGGGCCCACGGCACAAACTTTCGGAGCTCCTCGCGGATTTCCTTGTCCATCGCCGCCAGGACGATTCGGGCACCCCTGGAGCGCTCTCGACGAGGCGCACTTGCTGGAAGGCGTCCGGAGACGCGAAAGCCCACAACGGCCAGCCAGAGCGTCCGAAAGCGCCCGTGGGCCGACGCGGGGCCCCCCTCGGCGGCGCCTCGGGCACCGCCCCTGGCGCGGTTCGTGCGCCAGGGAAGAGGTGGCCCTAGTGCCGACCCCAAAACGCCTCGCGGAATGTTCAACGTTTATGCCAAGTCGAGCCTGTCCCTCTACCGGAGGAATGCTCAAGAAAAATCAAAACATAGGCGGGGGACGATTTTTTAGTATGGCTGAACTATTGCGGGGCTCTTTTTGACATTTTGTTTTTGTTGTCCAAAATCCGCTTGTAGGGGGACATGCCCGACCTAAGGTTATGTGCTTGTCGTTTCAGTCCAGTCATAGCCAAGGAGGTCTGTCAGGTGGGGTTCCAGCCGGACTTAACCTCATCCTGGAGGAAGCAAGGGGGGGTCCCGGTTGGAGGAAGCAAGGGGGGTTCCTTCTGGAGGGCCTCCAGCTGGACCTGGCGTCGCGTGATTGCGCCTCCCCTTCTCCAGTGTTTTTCAACCTGCGCTTTTTCCCGGATTTTGTTCACTGGGGACCGTTTTCGATCCCCGGGGCCGTCAGCCAGAAGGGACCCGGGACGAACATCAGCAGATGAGGCGAATGGACCACCGCTACCGTTAGGTCGGGCCCGTCACTCTACAGGGGGGATATTCAAAGACAGTCAAGAAATAATTAGGGGACAATTTTTTGAATATGTTTAACATGTTTGAATAATTGTTTTTTTATTTGTTGTCCAAAATCCCCCTGTAGGGGGACACGCCCGACTTAACGCTACCGAGAATCCATCGGGGCGGAGCCGACCCCTGGTCGGTGGACACGCCCAGAAGCAGCCAACACGGAACGGCGATCTGGCGATTGGAAGGTTGCCGTTCGTGCAAGACTGGCCTTGCCAGCTGAAAGCGTATCCTTACCCTCATCACGTTCCAACTTATTTTTGTCTTGATCGCCAGAAATAATTTCGATCACCAAGGAAGTACCCCAAACAACTCCAGGGTTTTCACGTGTCGGGCCCTGGGATACGCTCGCCCGACATTGTTTCGACACTCTTTCGACACTCTTTCGACACTTTCCTAGGTGCTCGAAATTATTTCTGGGAGATAGTCCTTAAGTACGATGGAACCAACATAACCCTTTCCCCAGCTTTGGCATCACCTTATCTCGATGCCGATGTAAGGAATCCCTCAGCTCCTGGGGACGCATCCCCAAGACTGTCATCGCGTCTGGCTTGCCCATCTTAGGGTCAGGGGCAAGTTCGAGTCTGGTTAGATGTGAGGAAATCACGGCGCCAGACGTCTGGACGCACATGCCGGGGAAACGTGAGACTCGAGTACGCAGGAATTCGAGGCCCCGTCAGGTCGACCCGAGTCCCCCGAACCCGAGTCTTACGTTTCAGTCGGGCCTGTCTGTCTACAGGAGGAATGGTGACGAGACTGGGGACGTGTTTTCTATCATTTTGGAGCTCTTTTGAACATGTTTTGGAACACAAGGATCGCCCAAACTCGGCCTGCAGGGGGGACGTGCTCGACCTGATCCTACGTCTCCCGGCCAGCTCCACGCACGGCCGTCCGGCCTCCCCTCGAGGGCCAGGGCGCTCGCGGGGTGCAGCCGGGCGGCCGCCCCTCCGCCCCGAGAAGACCGTCGGCAGAGCCTTTCGGGCCTCGCTCGGGCGCGTGCACTCCTGCTCTTCGACGAGGGCCATGGAGGAGCCTGCTGGCCGTCTTGGAGCGCGTTTCCGTGTTGCCTAGGGCCTACTGGGCATGATAGCCCTCGGCCCCACCTCCCCCCGCCCCCTAGAACGTCACGCCCCTCCCCCCCCCAGTGCGCTCCGGGCACTGCCGCCGTGCGCATCGGGCACCACGGCGGGGGGGAGGCGTTACACTATACCCCCCGCCCCCCCCCCCCCCCTAATGCCCATTCTCGCCGAAAAGTAAAGGAGCGCGCTCCTGCTGGCCCTCCCGCGGAGAAGCACCAGCGCGGCACCGCAGAGCCGCACATGGCAGCGACGCCCGGGCGATGGCCAGAGCACCGGTCATCGGCGGCCTCGGGCGGCCCTCGTCGTCCGGCGTCGTCCTCGGCGCCGTCCTCCTCCTCCTCCTCCTCCCCCTCCTCCTCCTCCTCCTCCTCCTCCTCCTCCTCCTCCTCCGTCCGGTGCCGCCGCCGTGGCCGCGTCGCCGTCGCCTTCCATCGCTGCCGCCGTTTCGCCGTCGCCCTCGTCGCCCATCTGGCGGCTTGGGCGTCTCTCCGGCGCTCTGCCCTCGGTATGGCGGGGCACCGCGGCCCTCGGCACGCGTCTCCAGCGGGCGGCCTCCAGAGGTCGAAGAATCGGGGGTGGACAGAACCCCCCACAGTGACACGTCGATTAGTGAATTGTCCGTTTTCGGTTCTCGAGAGGGCGCCGTGGCCGTTATTTTCCAGGCTTGCGCCCGCCAGGTTGGGGCCTCAGGTCGTTTTCACTAAACCACGTTTTACTAAAGGGGGGTCTGTCCATCCCCGAAAGACGAAGAAAAAGAAGCGCCAGCGCCGTCGGACCGAGGCACACACACACACACACACATCGAGGGTCGGTTCGGGGAGGGTGCCCTGTGATGTTCTTCGTGTGCTGTTTGACGTCCCTGGAGGGCACCGTTGGGTGTTCTTTGCGTCTTTGCGTTCTGGCTGGCGGAGGGTCTCGTGTTCTTGAGGGGTGCTCTTCTGTCCTAGGTTCGACTGTAAACATGAGCGTTTCGAAGCTCCGAGCGGATTCTTGGGATCGGCGCTTGGCCCCCCTGTCGGCTTCTACGGCGCCGCCCCTTGCGCGCTCCGCGCGCCAGGGAGGGGGGGGATGCAGCGCCGAGCCCAAGAAATCCGCACGGACCTTCGAAAGTGTATGGTCATGCATTTTTTCGCCTTCTGAGAGCTCCCGCGTCCGAATCCAGCAGTGCGTGACTCCAGCTTCCTGGTAGATCGTGCCAGCTACGGTGATATGTTGCTTCACCCGGAGAGTTCGGGAGTTGCTCCAGGTGGCCCTGGCCCAAGGTGCCCCCAGCTTTTCGCTCCATGTTGCAGACCCCGGGTCCCTCTGGACCTCGTGAGGGGTGCTCTGGAGGCCGTGGGGGGCCTCTTTGGGAATTTCTGGGGGTGCCTTGGGCTAGGGGCACTTCTGGCCACACCGGGAGAGTCGTTTGGCTGTTCGTGGGCCTCCCTTGCCCCTCAGAGCTCGAGTAAGAGATCGATTGCAGCCTTGATGTTCCCCACAGGTGAATTGTTTGTCGAATCTAGGGGCACTTCTGGCCACACCAGGAGAGTCGTTTGGCTGTTCGTGCCCCCCCCTGCCCCTCAGAGCTCGAGTGGGAGATCGACTGCAGCCTTGACGTTCCCAGAAAACGATTTGTTCGTCGAATCTGCGCCAAAAGTACGTAAGAGTATTCGTCGATCTACGGGCATTCTTTCTTTGTCCCGCTGGTTATCAGGAGGGACAAACACACAGACACAATTAATCTTCGATTCCCCAGAAAATATGGGAAAATATGGGAAGTGGGGGGGAAGACAGAAACCCATAACATACGGGAAGATGTGGGGGATATTCTTATTTGTGTGTATTTATTTGTGTGTCCTGGGGCCCCTTCAGGTTATACGACAAGGATCGACCTTGGGGTGCATAGAATTCTGTGGTCGGCCTCCTGCTCGAAAGAGCGGCGGAACGGGCCCCGAGGCGCTCGCGCCCCCACGCCGTTAAGCAGAGGGGTGCTCGTCGGCCACGCGCAGAGCTTGGCATCGCTCGGACGTGTGCATTGTTCCTTCCGCGAGGACCATCGAGGAGCATCCTTGATCAATTGGCGAAACAACCACGCACGAAACCAAAAAAGCACAGGGAATGGACGTCCGAGCGATGGCCAGAGAGGGGGTAGGCTTAAGTCGGGCCTGTCCCTCTGCAGGGGGAGCACCCCAGAACAGTCAAAGAATAGTCTGGGGTCGATTGTTGAAACATTTTGAAGTACTTTTTTTGGGGGGGGGGGGAATTCGAAGTTTTCGTCAAAAATCCCCCTGTGGGGGGACAGGCCCGACTCAAGGGCAGGCGGAGGGGGGAAGGCTTCTTAGAAGCACTCTGCTTCTTAGAAGGCGTGGGCATTCTTTGCCGAACGCTGGCGCCATCTACAGTAGAAGGCACGGGTTTCCGCTGGAAACCCGTGCCAAGAAACACCCTGCTTGCCTCCAGGGTGCCCGTGGGTTTTAGGGTTTCGATGGTTTCGCTGTGGAGAGCGTGGCGCTCCCACACAAGAGATCGATGGTCGTCCTGGTGTCTCAGGGTTGGGTTCTTGTGGAAGGTGTTCTGTGGTCGAGCTCCTACTGTAGGCGGAGGGGGGAAGGCTTCTTAGAAGCACCCCTGCATCTTACAAGGCGTGGGCCTTCTCTACACAAGCCCGGCGCAGCCTCTTCGGGGCTCAAGAGGCGGGGGTCAATGCAAACGGGGGTCAGCCAGGGCGCCAGATCTTGCAGGATCTTGCAGGTTCAGGGTCGCATTGGCCTGGGCTTCGGCGCAGGATCCCGCAGGATCTGGCAGGATCCTGCAGGGCCAGGGCCGCATCGACCCGGGGTTGGGGTGCAGGATCCTGCGGGATCCTGCAAGGCCCGACTGACCCGGGTCCGGATGGACCGGGGTCAGCAGGCCCCCGACCTCCAGAGAAGCCTTGCCCCCTCGACACCTTTCAGGAAGGGAAAATACACACAGACACAATTAATCGCCGATTCAGGAAAATATGCAAAAATATGGGAAGTGGGGGGGAAGACAAAAAACAAACAAATATAGGAAAACATAGGGAATACTTTTATTTGTGTGTATTTATTTGTGTGTCCTGGGGCCCCTTCAACCTTGCGCGCGCCGCCAAGCCTGGGCAGGCGCACCGTGCGGTCCGTTCGCCGAGGTGAGGGCCCCTCTCGGGCTCGGGAGGTGCTCTGGTCTTCGGGCCGTGCCTCGTGTCCGGGTCGGAGAGCCCCAACGTGGTGCCCGAGGCTCGTCGTGGCCAGAAGAGCAAGCTGTTCCTTGTTCAGCGCTCTTCAGGAGGAGATAAAACACACAGACACAATTAATCGTCGATTCTCCAGAACACATGGGAAAATATGGGAAGGGGGGGGGGGAAGACAGAGACCCAGAAAATACGGGAACATATGGGGATTCATTCTATTTGTGCGTATTTAGTTGTGTGTCCCAGGGCCCCTTCAGCTCTCTCTCGCAGCAAGATGACTGCAGGCCCCGGGATTTCTCGAAGACCTGCTCTTCATGCCGAGTCGTTTCGTTGGACGGCCCCGGGGCCCGTGGGGGGCCCCAGGGCCCCGAGCAGGACAATGACACGGATTCTCCAGTGTCCTTCCCTATCAGGTCTGCTAGATGTAGCTCGGAGGGCATGCCCCTCCTGGTCCACGCAGTGACCTCTGCCTGCCATGTGCCACTCCGTGTGAGGTTGTTGTTGCAGGTTTTCGTCAGGTGATGGCGAGGCCTTTCAAGCGGGGGTGAGGAGGCACACGTCAGCGCATGGAGCTCTGCAAGAGATGTGCGCGGGAGGCTTCGGGCACATCGGCATCACCGTACCTGACGTGTACGCTGCCTGCCAGCGCTTCAAGGACGCTTGCTGATTTCAGGCTGCCTCGTTTGTCATTGTGCGGTCCAGAGGCGCGGCGGCACGCTACTTAGAACCGCCTTTGCCACCGACCTCACGGCCGCGCGGCTGGCTTTTTTTGGATGCGAATCGGTAGGGCTCACGGGTGGAGAGCGTTCGACATGGTTTGGCGTAAGACCTCTCTCGCCTGTCATTTCTCTGCCTGGCTCAGTACCTCCGCCGCCGTGACCACCCGCATTGGTGCAGACGCTGCCACTTTCCGCCACTGACGCCGTACTCGATCCGTGGTGGTCCTGGGCACGAAGCCGGGCGACAACGCTCGGCGCAAAAAACAAGCGATGCCTGGATCTCAGGGACCACCACCGCCGCCTCGGGTTTTTGGTTCGGGAGTGCACGGCGATACCTGACGTGCTGCATGTGCCGAAGGAAAGATACGGAAAACACAACTTGACAGCAATAACGAGCAAGCATTCCAAGCTGCACAGCACAATCAAAACAGGCAGCACAACAACACACGCCCAGACAAGTCAACTCCCGGCAGGGGCCGCTCATGTGGAGATCCTCAGGAGCTGTGCGCACCAGCGGTGGCCAAGGCGACTGTGGCGCTCGACCTCGTGGTGCTCGCATACACAGGCACCTGACGTCGTGATTTTTGTTCACAACGTCTCTTCCCAAAGAGGTCTGGACCTCCTCCTCCTCATCCCTCCTCCCCTCCCTCCTCCCCCTCCTCCCCCTCCTCCCCCTCATCCTTCTCCCTCGGCCTCCCAATATCTCCCTCCGCCTCCTCCCCCTCCTCCTCCTCCTCCTCCCCCTCCTCCTCCTCATTCTGGTCCCCTCTCCCCTTCCTCCTTCTCTTCCTCCTCCTTTTCCTCTTCTTTTTGTTTCGCCTCCTCCTCCTCCTCCCCCTTCTCCTCCCTCCTTCTCCTCGTCCTCCTCCTTCTCGCATGGTAATTCGGAGGCTGTCTGACTTCGTTGGAGTTCCCCGATATCTGACTATGTGATTTTGTTCACAGCGTGGCTCCCAAGAGGTCCGGACTCCTTCCTTGGGGCCAGGTTTTCATTCTGGGCCGTCTCTTGACGGCCCCGGGCTCGGCGAGGGCTCTCGGAGGCAGAGAAATTAGCAAACACCAGTGGTCGTAATTTGTTACACGCCGCGAAGGTGTGCGTGCGTCGGAACTTTTATTGACGATGAGCTCCGTCCCTGGAAGTGCATCCCATACCTCGAGGACATGGGCGCGGAGTTCCACAAGTCGCCCAATGCTGGTGGCATGAAGGGCTTGGCCTTCGTGAAGGACAGAGCGGGGGGGGCCGCCTCTGGACCACCAGGCGGTGTTACAGAAGCCTCGGTGCTGGTGGAACCGGACGCATCCACGGTCGTCTGCACGTTCCATCCAATTTCCCTCCGTTCGCATCCCCCGGCATCGCTCGGACGTGTGCATTTTTCTTTCGGCGAGGACCATCGAGGAGCATCCTTGATCATCTGGCGAGAAAGCCACGTACGAAACCGAAAAAAACACAGGGAATGGACGTCCGAGCGATGGCGAGTCCCCTGGCATCCTCTTCCTAAAACAGTTGCTGGAGTCATTGAGTCAAAACATAATCCCAAAAACGCGAGGGCCAAAACAAAATGCAGGCTCCTCGAGACTTCGGGGAGGGGGATTTTGGGGTAGGGTTTTACCAGGGTGACGACGACGAACGCAACACATACCCCGAAATCTTTGGCCGACCTTCGAATCCTCGGTGAATCCGCCATTTTGGGATTCGGGATGTGTTTTTTCGTGGTCATGGAGAGTATGGGTTTTTGTCCCCGCCTCTGGGGGCCCCTGCCGGGCCTCGCGGCCGCCAGGAGGCGACCCGGGACGAACACTTGGCCCCCCGGGAGGGGTGCAGACCTCTCGGGAGGGACGCCGTGAACAGACTCGCGGTGTCGGATGTCTGGGGGGCCCCAGGCGCGGTCAGGCAGCTTCTTGCCTGCCAGGGGAGGGGAGGAGGGGCAGGTGAGGGAGGAGGGGCGTCCGTCGCAAAGAAGGTCGAGGAGGGCGAGTTCGGCGCCCACCTGAGGCCGTCGGACTGACGGGCTACGCCGCGCCGCCCGTCGGCGCGGCACAGAGCCCTCATTGAAAGGGTTCGCTGAAAGGTGAGGGAGGAGGGGGAAGGAGGAGGAGGAGGAGGAACAGGTGGATGAGGGATGAGGTGGCGGATGGAGGGCGAGGACGAGGAGGGAGGAAGGGAGGAAGGGCGGAGGAGTGGGGCTTTTCTGGCAGCCCTGAAGACCCCTCCTGCCGGCCGTGGAGACGAGGCGGACGCCATCTCCTTGCCTGCTCGCATGTGTTTGCCTGATCCGTTTCGGGCCCATCCTGGGGAGCTTCGTCCGTTCCCTTTTGATGTTCCCCCTCCTCGTATCCATGCTTTCCCGTAGGATCCTTTGTCTTTCGCCGGCTAACGCAGGTCATGGTCATGAGTGAGCGCGCGTTCTCCAAACAAATCATTGAAACAACGATGATTCAGTAAGGCGCGAAGTGTTTCTTTTTTGAATTTTGGCGAGTATTCAAATCAAGACAAACCATCATTTAGTAAACGAAGAAACATGTTTAAAACATTCAAAACGGATATTCTAAATCCGGGGCCGTTTTTCGAAACCCCATATCTCATCATTACCATGCCTTGAGTGGCTCTATCAGTCTTTGGCCCTCTTGCAATGCTGCACTGTGTGCCCCACGTCTCTGTGGCGGTGTGCGGATCGCATCGTATAGTGTCAGGTCAGCAGAGCGGGCAAGCGTGGTGGCCAGAGGCGTGCACACAGCGGAGCACTCACAACTCACCCGCACAACAGCCCCGCAGTTGCGGATGAGCTGAGAGTGGGGGTGCCTGGGCCGCCCTTGGTTCCGAGCGTCAATGCAAATGTTTTCGCTGCTGAGTTTTCAGGAGCAGCCGCTGCCGCCCACCGCAAGCGCCGACCTGCTTCCGCAAGCCAATTTGGGTGGGTCGCGCGGCGGCTCGTTGACAGTTCGCATGGCTCAAGCGCGAAAGTAAAACAGCCCGCCGCAGGCGTCGACTGCTCTGTGGGTTCGTCGGGTCGCGGGGGAGTCGTAGGGTGGGCCAATGAATCAGAGGAAGAAAAGTGACGGCACCGCCATCCGTGCCTCGGTTTCGCCACAGTTGGATTCGTTTCGAAATTATGGTCACAACGCACCCTGGGAGATCCCTTGGGGAGTAGCGTAATGATTTGAGGCAGTTTCTGTGGAGGCCACGTCATCCTGACCCCATCCTCCAAAAAAAAAAAAAACGCCCCACGAACTTCCCCAGGGAGGCCCCAGAGGCCCCCGTATACAGTTTCAGGCGGGATCCGGGAAATCTGGCGAATCTGGCGACGATTTCCACACCGTCGCCGTCGCGCGGGACATCTTCAGAAAAACCGCATCCCCGAGCCTTCCTAAGAAGGCCCTCAGAGGCCCCCCTGTTCCGTTTCACGCGAGATCTGGGAAATCCAGCGAATCGGGCGACGAATTCCAAACCAGCGCCCTCGCGTGCGATGTCATCAAAATAACCGCCTCCCGAACCTCCCCAAGGACGCCCTCAGAGGCCCCGCTGTTCCGAGACAGGCGAGATCCGGGAAAGCCGTCGAATCGAGCGAATCTGGCGACCTTTCAAACTGGCGCCTTCGAGTGGGACATTTTTCTTAACAATTTTGTGGTGTTGGGTCTTCGTTTTGAAAGACGGTCCCTGCGTCCCTCCTCTTCTCCTCTTTTCTTTTCCTCTCCTCCTCCCCTCCTCCCTCCTCTCTCCTTTCGTCACCCTCTCACCTTGGCACACCCGTCACACGTTTCGTGGCCCCGTAGGGAACTTCACCTAAGGTACCGGTGGCGCAGTACGCATGGCGGCGCCTCCGTTTTTGGCACACGCACACACACACACACCACAGGTTTTCGTGACCCCGTAAAAAGCCCCATCGAAGGTTCAGTGGCGCAGTTCGCATGGCGGCGCCGCCCCCATGTGGCACAACCCTCACAGGCTTCGTGGCCCCATAGGAAGCTCCATTTACGGTCTTCATGGCGCAGTTCGCATGGCGGCGCCGCTCCATTTTGGCACGCACCTCACACGCTTCGTGGCCCCATAGGGAACTCCATCTGAGGTCCTCACGACGCAATTCGCATGGCGGCGCCGCTCCATTTTGGCACTCAGTTCACACGGTTTGTGGCCCCATCGGGAGCTCCATCTTAGGGCCCATGGCGCAGTTCGTATGGCACACCTCTCTCACACGCTTCGTGGCCCCATTGGGAGTTCCATCTAAGGTGCCAGTGGCGCAGTTCACATGGCGGCGCCTCGCTTTTTGGCACACACACACACACACCACACGCTTTCGTGGCCCCATAGGGAAGTCCATGGAACGCCCCAGTGGCGCAGTTCGCATGGCGGCGCCGCCCCATTTTTGGCACATCCCTCACACGTTTTCGTGGCCCCAGAGGGACCTCCAGACCTTCTTTCGGTCCTGTGGATTCCCGCCTTGGCCGACGGCTGTCCGTCGCGCTGCGCTCTCGGTCGACGTCGCCCAGGCGCGATCCTGGATTGAGGTCGCCACGAGGTCGGGAACGGCAAGGAAGAGGACGATGACTGGTGGCTGGGGCTCTATGCGCTGCCTTCGCGCGCCACCTGCCACGAGGACCTCTTGCTCATGCGGGCGCCGCGCATCGAGTTTTTTGTGGCAGCTCCGCCGGGGGGCTTGCGAAAGCAGCTGGAGCAGTTTGCGGCGCGCACGAAGCGGCGCAGGAAGGAGCTGGGCTTCACTGAGTTTATCCGCGAGGCTTGACCTGAGGAGCGGCCCGCCCGAGCCGGCCTGCCCAACTGTTTGGCCTCGTGCCGCGGACGACCCGCGCGCGTCGCTGGGGCCCTCTTTGGGCGACCAGCGCGCGTCGCGGGAGTTCCGCGCGGCGCCCTGCCCGGCGCTTCGCTCGCCCGTCGCCGCTCTGCCCAGCGGTCAGATCTTTGCCCGCCATCAGCCAGCCAGCTAGCCGTCTTTCCTCCGCGCCGCGGACGACTCGCGCGCGTCGGTGGGGCCCACTCGGGGCGACCGGCGCGCGTCGCGGGAATTCCGCGCGGCGCTTTGCCCGGCGCTTCGCTCGCCCGTCGTCGCTTTGCCTGGCGGCCGGATTTTTGCCCGCCGTCAGCCAGCCAGCTAGCTCTCTTTGCTCCGCGCAGCGGACGACCCGCGCGCGTCGCTGGGGCCCCTTCGGCGTCGCGGTGCGCGGGCGCAGCCGTCGGGGTCCCCGGGGGCGCCCCCGGTGGCGGCCACGCTCAGTGCCGCGGGCGTTCAGAAGCAGACGTGCCCAAACCGTTCACATTCATTTACATTCGCACTAGGCGTAGCCATGCTCGCACTCATGCAAATAGATTCATTCGCGCGCATACTCATCCAATGTCAGACTTGCGCTTCGATCCGCCTGCTCTCAGTTGCTCGCAGTCAGACCTGTCGTCTTCGTTCGCGCCGTGTACACCGCCACACACGTCGACACGCCCCTCATGCGGTTCGTGGCCCCATATGGAGCGCCACCGAAGACGATATTCAAACTTGTGAGATTCACATTTGCGTATGATTGGGTCTTTCGCCAGATTTATTTTTTTTATTGATATATACATACACACGTACATATGTATACACATAACACGTATACACATTAGGGGGCCATGGAAAAGGCGCCGCCGTGGGGGCCAGCGCGAATCCAAGAATACCGCGCGGAGCGCCAACAACTTATATGCATGTGGTTGTTTGTTTGTTCTAGTTGTGCCGTATTGGACGACGTTCCGAGTCAAAATATGAACTTGTTTGTCCAAACATATTGGGTTTACGAAAGGGTTGGGTCGCTGTTTGTGCAGTGGAGATCTATTTGTGGTTTTGATTGAGCTTGCTTGGGGCGTGTCGGATGCGTCTTCGGCCGTCGTGAAGCTATTTGTGTTGTTTGTGTGGTCTCTTCGGCGTGCTGGAACCCAGCTTCAGCCAGCTTGAGTGGCACCCAGGGTATATAGGACCCCGCGGAGTGAAAGTTTGGATGGAGGTACCGGGGGTGCGTTGACGAGTTCGTAAGCCCCTTCCGTCCAATGAGATTCGGGACCCTGGGGACTCGGTTAAGGGGGAGGGGGACATCCAAATGTCCCACACGCCTGTTCGGCGGGGCCTTCCATCCACATGAAGATCTGTCAGGGGCCTGGCGTATCGCCCCCGTGAGCTCCACCTGATTTCGCCAGGCCCAAGGCACAACATCGTCGCCCTCTTCCACCGCATTGAACGCCCAGAGCAACGTCGCGTGCCCGTCGCGTTGTCGAAGCAGCCCGCCCCTCGCCGCTTCCCGCCGCGTTGCCTCCGCATCTTCCTGACAAGTGGCGCGCAACAGGCGGTAGCGCGAGGGGGAAGGCGTTCTGAGAAGGCGGTGGCCTTTCAGGGTCCATTTCGATCCGATCGATCCGATTCGACATCGGATCCGGCCGCCCCGATTCGATTCGATTCGATTCCGATTTTCAGTCGGTCTGAGGCGGCACCATGCTTGAATGGCGCTGATGTGCGTCATGGCGCCGCCGACCCGATCCGATTTCCCGATCCGATGCCGGCTGTTGCTGCCCTCTTCAAAGGGCCACACTCCGCCCCCCCCCCCTGCGCGCCCCGCGCCTTCGGAGTTCCGGCCGGACGAAAGGGGGGGATAGGGAAAGGTGGGGTTACGAAATCTGCTGCGTGCAGCTGGTTTCGGCCCCACCGAGGGGCCCATTCCTCGATACATAGCCGCCTCCTGCGCGTCGGGAGGCGTCGGGAAAATCAGCGACCCGAGCTGATTCTCAGACCCCCCCTTTGCTATCTCCCCCTTTCGCCTGCACCTTCGAGGTGTGGTGGCGGGGATTCGCTGGCGACGTCCGACCCCCCCCCCCCGCCTCGCCCCTGGCGCGGGGGGGGCCAGCCAATACTCAGGAGAGGAAAAACACACACACACACACACACACACAGACACACACTTCATCCTCGATCCCCCAGAGAATATGGGAAACTATGGGAAGTGAGGAGGAAGACAAAAACCCCGAAACTATGGGAAAATATGGGGGATATTTTTTGTTGTGTGTGTATCTATGTGTGCGTCCCAGGGCCCCTTCAGGGATCGCCCCGCAGCCACGGCGGCGCGGCCCCCGGGGCCGGGCCCGGGAGGCCGTGGAGGCGGGCAGGCTTTCCGCCCACGACCTCGTGGCGCGTCCTGCGGCGGCGGCTCAATAGGTTTATCAGAGCCCCGAATCATCAGGGATAACTCGGGTCAGGGATAACTCGGGTTCGTTTTTCGGGAATCCAAACCCGAGTTACCCCGGACCCGAGTTACCCCGGATAACTCGGGCGTCCAGAGCCCCGAATCATCAGGGATAACTCGGGTCAGGGCTAACTCGGGTTCCTTTTCCGGGAATCCAAACCCGAGTTACCCCGGATAACTCGGGCGTCCAAGCTTACGGTAGGTCTGCGTCGTGTCGACCAGCGGCGACCCCAGCGCGGGCGCTCAAGGTTGAACGCCGCCGGCGACCCAGAATCGATCGATGTTGAACGATCGGACGTTGCGGCAGCGGCCGATCGTTCAAGGTTGAACGATCCCTGGGGTGTCAAAAACCAACGCCGGGGTCGGCACGACACGAACCTGCCGTAAGTCGGGCGTGTCCCTCTGGCAGAGGAATCTTCAGAAATAGTCCAGAACTAGTCTGGAAATAGTCGGGGGATGACGTTTTGCTATTTGTTGTATTTTCGTTTTTCTGTTGCATATAACAATGTGTCACTGTTCGCCCAAAATCCGCCCGTAGGGGGACATCCAGGCCTGCGAGGCCGTGGAGGCGGACAGGCGTTCCGCCCACGACCTCGTGGCGCGTCCTGCGGCGGCGGTTAGGGCAGCCCCCGAATGCCAGGAGGCGGCGCAAGCAAGCGCCCACCCCCTCTTCGCAGGCGATGTTTCTCCCCCGATCCCCGAGTTCCGCCCGAAAAGTTTGGCCGCTCAGAGCAAGGTGGGAGCCCCTGGGATACACCCCGAGGGGTCTGTGCGGACGCACCCCTATCGAGGATGCCCCCTCGTCGTGCATCCCAGGGTTGGGACCCAAGTTGTCGGTCCGTTCGAAAAGCCCACGAAGCCTGGGATAGGGGTCGACGTATCCCCTAGTGAGAAGGCCAGAATCGGGCGATCGCAAACATGGATTAAGGGGGCGTGGATTAGCGACGGGTCCTGTTTCATGGGAAATAGCGGATATCAGCCGCCCAACGAGGCGGCACAGGCCGCATTTTGTGGAGGGCACCTCCCCCGATCCATGGATTTGGCGACCGCGCGCCTAATCCATGCATCGCTAGTCCGTGTTTGCGCGCCCCCGACAGAAGGCGGAGAAAGCAAGCCCGCCCCCCTTCTGCGCCGACGCGTCATCCTCGCATTCCCTCTCCGCAGCCGCGGGTCTTCCGACGCACTCGTGGGGTTCGCGGGCAGGGCGCTGCCCCCGGGGGGGGCATGCCGGCTGTGGCGCAGCAGCCGCCGGTTGGTCTGACTACCAAGAACACTTTCCTGGACTGCCAGTCGCCGTGGATCGACTACGTGAAGGTGGACGAGCGCCCGAAGTCGGACCCCACGTCCGACTTCTCGTCCTGCTCGGCGTCCGAGAACTCCCAGAGCAGCGCGGGCCTTAGACTTGGCATCGCTCGGACGTGTGCATTTTTTCCTCGGCGAGGACCTTCGAGGAGCATCCTCGACCATCTGGCGAAAAAAACACGCGCGAAACCGAACAAAAACTCAGGGAATGGACGTCCGAGCGATGGCCAGTAGAGCTGCATGGCTCGGCCAAGGCGGTGCTTTGCAGATTCCGTGGGCCGTTTTCGTTTCGACTCCGTTCCGCAGCAGGGGCGGCAGGAGGGCCACGCGCGGGAGAGCGGAGCCACGACGAGCACGAAAAGCACCGTCCAGGCCGATCCCTGGGAGGCCTCACGCCGCAGAGACTGAGCACGAGAGGCCGTCACGCGACGGAGAGCTCGAGCCTGTCGGATCAGCCGCTGGAGGGCGACTCACAGGCTCGGCGGCCACAGAGTGCGTGGTAGCGCCAGGGTGCGGTTTGTGATCCGCGGCGGCTACCCTCGCCGGGCCGCCTCGGGGCGCGGCGGAGAACTCTGCCAAGGGCCACTCGCGCCCCCGAGGGTGCGGGTTGCGAGCCACGCCCTCTGCAGACCATGCCCTCTGGAGCCCCCGAGAAGAGGCGCCGCAGAAGATCACCAGGATCCACGGAGAGCTGAGTCGGGCACGTCCCCCTACAGGAGGAATGCTCGGAAACAGCCCGAAGCAGTCGGGAGACAGTTTTTCTCAACCATCTTGTGGTGTTGGGTCCTCGTTTTGAAATGAGTTCCCCGCGTTCTCCTGCTCCCCCTCCTCCATCACCATCACCATCACCATCACCATCACCATCATCATCATCATCATCATCATCATCATCATCATCATCAACATCATCATCACCCGTTTCAGCACACCCCTCACACGTTTCGTGGCCCCATAGGTAACCCCACCGAAGGTCCCAGTGCTACCGTCCGCATGCGTCCCCCGCATCCAGTACAGCGTTTCGTGGCCCTGTTCAAGAATCCCTTGCAAAACATGGGACGAAGGGCGCACGCGCGCGTCGTCGCGCGCGCATGCCGAAATCCTTCAAAAACCTTCGGTTTCGGACGGATTTCAAAATCAAGCGTTCAAAACACATAAAAAATACAGGGTTTCGCAACAGGGATTTTCAAACAACGCTTGCGCGCGCGCTCTTGCGAATTTCAGAGAAAACCATGGTTTTTCAACATTTTCAGAACATGCTACCAAACGGGCTTCGCGCGCACGCATGTCGAAATCGTTCGAACGCCCTTGCGCGCGTTTGGGGGGGCACGATCCGTGTTAAATCATACCATGCGGGCCATTCTCGCGCGTCTGCCGCGCGCCTTCCAAAACCTTCATCATCGACGCGACGACGCCGTCATCGTCGTCGGCGTGATCCGCATCGGCGCCGTCATTGGCTGCCCCGTCGTCGCTGTCAGCATCGTCACCAGCATCGCTACTAGCATCTTCGTGTCTACCGTTGTCGACGTGGCCATGATACCGCGCCCGCCCAAGTCGCCGCCTCGCATTGAAGTGCCCGCTGGGATGGGCCGAGCGGTCAGCGCCACCGCGTTCGCGTCGGTCGCGCCAAACTAGCCGGCCGCTGCGCGCGCCTAGCGCGACCGCAGAGATGCACAAGCCAACACCAAACACTCATCGCAATCGCCGCCGCATGGGTTGTGCAAACCAAGGTGCGGGTGGGAAGGTGGGATGTTTGCGCGAGCAGTGTAGTGGGCGACTCACTGCGAACCGCCCACGTGCGTCCCACAGACCCGATTCGGAATTTGCACCCGCCCACTACAGCGGTTCGTGGCCCCATAGGGAGCTCCACCGACGGGCCCAGTGGTAACTCCCGCGCGCGTTCCTCCCCACCCAGTACAGCGCCTCGTGGCCCCATGAGGGGGTCCACCGGAGCCCCCAGTGGGACCGCCCGCATGCGTCCCCCACGCCCAGTTTGGTATTTTCACCCACCGAGCACAGCGTTTCGAGGCCCCGTGGGGAATTCCACCGACGGCCCCAGTCCTACCGCCCGCACGCGTTCTCCCCCACCCAGTGCGGCGCTTTTTTGCCCCATAGGGAGCTTCACCGAACACAAACATTCACAATCGCGGCACCCACAACTGCATGTGGTCGGGTCCTTCGCCCAGTTGATTATGCGTCCTTCTTCTTCTGTGTCTGGGGGCACTGAGCATGTTCAGACAGACTACTTGTTATCTCCCGTCCAAAAAAACTCCCTGCAGTCAAGGGCACAAAAGACGCGCCCACCCTGGTTTACGAGGCGCTGTGCGCTGAAACTCCTGTGGGCTGACAGGGTAGACCCTGCGTGATGTGCCGCGTCCTGGCGGCTCCAGGCTCTGGGGGGTCCCAGGAGGTTTACAGACCACGCACTTGTGACCCAGGGTATCACCACCCACCAAACCACCCCAACCCAACCCGAAGGCTCAGATTTACCCTCGATTTCCAGTGGGGGGGGTGTCGGGAAACATCGCAAAAACACGTGTGGAACCCTTACCCCCCCCAACCCGAAATTCGGGTCTTCGGGTTGGGTTGGGGTGGTCTGGTACGTAGTCAGGGTAGGGTTTTTTTTTCATCCCTCAGTGCAGGAGGACGTGCCCGGCCCAAACAAAAGGGACGGCGGCGTGCGGCACGAACAACAGCAGAAAACGCTCGGCGCTCCCCCCGCGGCTCTCCCGGGTCGGCGCCCGGGGCCCCCGCGGAGCGGCGCCGCCAGGTCCTGCCCCTGGCGCGCCCTCCGCGCGCCAAGGGGGAGGGGCGGCCGGCGCCGAGCCGAGCGTTCCGCGCGGACCTCCGAGAGCGTATGTTTTTGTTTTTTTTCAGGGAGGGGGGGGGGAAAAAACACAGACACGATTCATCGTCGATTCCCCTGAAAATATGGGGAAAATATGGGAAGTGGGGGGGAAGCCAGAAACCCAGAACATATGGGAAAATATGGGGAATCCTCTTTTATTTGTGTGTGTCTTTGTTTGTGTGTCTCAGGGCCCCTTCAGTCTTGCCCCCGCCGTTGCAGGACGCAGCGGCGCCGCTTGCAGCGCAAGTCCGTGAAGGAAGCGGCCAAGCCGGAGGCCCGGGGTTATGATGTTCCCACATGCTTGAGCCTTGGCCACCAGATACAATGCTGAGAGCAGCAGGAAGGTACTGAAATTAGAGGTTTTCACTCGTCGGACCCTGGGAGGCGATACTCGTTCGACACTGCTTCGAGGCTTTTCTGGGGGCTCGAGATTGTTTCTGGGACGTGGTCCTTGAGTACGATGGGAACAACATAAAGTCCAGGGCAGCAGCTCGACCGCGATGCAGCAGGGCACCACCAAGATCTCCCTGTGATCTGCCTGTGTGCGGCGGCCTTGGCCCTGGCGGGCCGAAAGGCGAAGGCCCAAGGTCCGCCGCCGGGTGCGGCGGCGGCGCCCATCGCGCAGGCTCTCAGCGTTGCGTTTCAATCGGGCGTGACCCTCTACAGGAGGAATATTCAAACAGATAGTTAAGAAAATATGTTGGGGGCGATGTTTCGACACTTTGTGGAGTATTTTGGGGTGTGCTTCCCAACCATCATGTGGTGTTGGGTCCTCGTTTTGAAAAGACGGCGCCAGCGTTTTTTACCTCCAGCCTCCTTCCTCCCTCCTCTCCCCTCCTCCCTCCTCCCTGCGATTCGCCCACCCAGTACAGCGCGTCGGGGTCTCATAGGGAGCTCCACCGAAGCCCCCAGTGGGACCTCCCGCATGCGTCCCACACGCCCAATTTGGCATTTTCACCCATCGAGCACAGCGCTTCGTGGCCCCATGGGGAGTTCCACCGAAGGGCCCATTGGCACCGTCAGCATGCGTCAGCCACCACCCAGCGCAGCGCTTCGTGGCCCCATGAGGTGGCTCCACCTAAGGCCCCAGTGGCACCGCCCGCATGCGTCAGCCACCACCCAGTACAGCGATTCGTGGCCCCGCACAGCGCCTTGTGGGCCCGTAGGGAACTCCAACGACGGCCCCAGTGGCACCGCCCGCATGCGTCAGCCACCACCCAACACAGCGCTTCGTGGCCCCATGCTCCACCTAAGGCCCCAATGGCACCGCCCGCATGCGTCAGCAGCCATCCAGTACAGCGCTTCGTGGCCCCATAGAGAGCTGCATTGGAGTCCCAAAGGGACCGCCCGCATGCGTCAGCCACCACCCAGCACAGCGCTTCGTGGCCCCATAGAAAGCTGCACCGGAGTCCAGTGGGACCGCCCGCATGCGTCAGCCACCATCCAGCACAGCGCTTCGTGGCCCCAGAGAGAGCTGCACCAGAGTCCCAGTGGGACCGCCCGCATGCGTCCGCCACCACTCAGCGCAGCGCTTCTTGGCCCCACGGGGGGGCTCCACCGAAGGCTCCAGTGGCACCTCCCCAGTGGCCCACAACCCAGTACAGCGCTTCGTGGCCCCATAGGGAACTCCACCGAAGGTCCCAGTGGGACCGCCCAGATGGGTCAGCCACCACCCAACGCAGCGTTTCGTTGCCCCATAGTGGGGTTCCACCGAAGGTCCCAGTGGGACCGTCCGCATGCGTCAGCCACCACCCAGCACAATGCTTCGTGGCCCTAGAAAGAGCTCCACGTAAGGCCCCAGTGGGACCGACCGCATGCGCCAGCGATTCGTGGCCCCATGGAGAGCTAGATGCTCCAGAGTCCCAGTGGGACCGCCCGCATGCGTCAGCCACCACCCACTACAGCGTTTCGTGGCCCAATGGGGGGCTCCACTGAAGGCACCAAAGGCACCGCCCGCATGCGTCAGCCACCACCCAGTACAGCGTTCCGTGGCCCTATAGGGAGTTCCACCGAAGGGCCCAGTGGCACCGCCAGCATGCGTCAGCCACCACCCAGCACAGCGCCTTGTGGGCCCGTAGGGAACTCCAACGACGGCCCCAGTGGCACCGCCCGCATGCGTCAGCCACCACCCAGTACAGCGCTTTGTGGCCCCATAGGGAGCTCCACCTACGGTCCCAGTGAGACCGCCCGCATGCGTCAGCCACCACCCAGTACAGCGCTTCGTGTTCCCATAGGGAGGTCCACCGAAGGCCCCAGTGGCACCGCCCGCATGCGTCACCCAGCACAGCGCTTCGTGGCCCCATTGGGGGCTTTACCGAAGGCCCCAGTGGCACCACCCGCATGCGTCAGCCACCACCCAGTACAGCGCTTCGTGGCCCTATAGGGAGTTTCACCGAAGGGCCCAGTGGCACCGCCAGCATGCGTCAGCCACCACCCAGCACAGCGCCTTGTGGGCCCGTAGGGAACTCCAACGACGGCCCCAGTGACACCGCCCGCATGCGTCAGCCACCACCCAGTACAGCGCTTCGTGGCCCATAGGGAACTCCACCTAAGGTCCCAGTGAGACCGCCTCATGCGTCAAACACCACCCAGTACAGCGCTTCGTGGTCCCATAGGGAGCTCCACCGAAGGCCCCAGTGGCACCGCCCGCATGCGTCAGCCACCAACCAGTACAGCGTTTCGTGGTCTCATAGGGTTCTCCACCGAAGGGCACCGTGGTACCGTCAGCATGCTCCAGTCGCCACCCAGTATAGCGTTTCGTGGTCCCATATGGAGCTCCACCGAAGGCCACAGTGGGACCGCCCGCGTGCGTCAGCCACCGCCCAGCACAGCGTTGTGTGGCCCCATAAGGGGGTTCCACCGACGGTCTCAGTGGGACCGTCCGCATGCGTCAGCCACCACCCAGCACAGCGCTTCGTGGCCCCATGGGGAGCTCCACCTAAGGCCTCAGTGGGACCGCCCGCGGGGGCCACCACCCAGCACAGCGCTTCGTGGGCCCAGAGGGAGCCCCACCGAAGGTCCCAGTGGGACCGCCCGCATGCGTCAGCCACACCGCACTACAGCGCTTCGTGGCCCCATGAGGAATTCCACCGATGGTCCCAATGGGCCGCCCGCATGCGTCAGCCACAACCCAGTGCAGCGTTTCGTGGCCCCGTAGTGGGCCCAACAGAAAGACCCCAGTGGCACCGCCCGCATGCGTTGTCCACCATCCAGTACAGCGCTTCGTGGGCCCATTGATGGGGAACTCCAGCAAGCCCCAGTGGCACTGCCCGCATGCGTCCCCCCACCCAATACAGCATTTCGTGGCCCCAGAGGCCCGCCCGCATGCGACCCCCACCCAGTACAGCGTTTCGTAGGCCCATAGGGAGCTCCATCGAATGCCCCAGTGGCACGCCCGCATGCGACCACCCCCCCCATGGCCTCATAGGGAGCTCCACCGAAGGCATGAGTGGGACCGCCCGTATGCGTCGGCCACCACCCAGTACAGCGTTTCGAGGCCCCGTGGGGCGCTCCACAGAACGACCCCAGCGGCACCGCCCGCAGGCGTTTCCCTAACCAGTATAGCGTTTCGTAGCCTCATCAGGAGCTTCAGCCAGGGGCACCGCCCGCATGCGTCAGCCAGAACCAGCACCGCGTTTCGTGGGTCCATAGGGAGCCCCACCGAAGGTCCCAGTGGCACCGCCCGCATGCGTCCCCCCCACCCATTACGGCATGTCCGTCACGCGTGTCGTGGCCCCATCGGGAGATCCACCGAAAGCGGCACCCACAGCGCGATATTCACAATTGCATGTGGTTGGGTCTTTCGCTCGGATAAGTTGATTATGCTTTTCATTGTTCGTCCAAGATCCGCTTGTAGGGGGACATGCCCGACCTAAGGCTCGCCCCATGCCCCAGGGCCCTCAGCAGCCCTCGGGGAAGAACGGCCTGCGGGGACTTAACTCTACGCCTCCCAAAGGGAGTCCGAGTAGTTCGGGATCGGTGTGGCCGCGCCGCTTCGCCGATGCATCGGTGATGCGGCTCGATGTGGAGCCCGATGTTCTCCACTCAGATGGCGCCGATGCAGCGCCGTCGCCGCGGATGCAACGGCGATGCATCGGGGATGTGACGTGGTCCTCCGATTCCATGTCCTCGTTCCCCATTTGGGAAGCCTCTATCTAGCTGGCCGCGGCAAACCCTGCCACCGTGCTTGTGCAAAAGCGCAGCAGGAAGGAGGCAGAGTGCAGGAACAGCGCAATTCCGAATATTGATTTGAACTGAGACGGGTCGTGAACTCAGCCTCGTCTTCGACCGCGCGGTAGGAACGAAGTCGGCTTCACGCCCCGCTGCAGTTCAATGGTTTGTCTGAACTAAAGAGGTCGTGATTTCGGCCTCGACCTGGTCCGCGCGGTAGGAGGGAGTTCACGCTCCGCGGCAGTTCAGGGAGTGGTTTGAACTGAGGTGGGTCGTGATCTCGACCTCGCGTTCGCCCGCGCGGCACGGAAGAGCCAGGAGTAGGAGGAGGCTTGTTGATGCCCTCTTGTCGGAGCCTCCTGAAGGCCTCTTTGCGGCCTTTGGGGGAGCCTCCTGGGGCATATTGGGGGCCTCTTGGGTTGTTTTAGAGGGCCAGTTGGCTTGTCTGACGCTTTCGGAGGCCGTCTAGGGGGCTTCCCTAGGCCACCTTGATGCCCTCTTGAAGCGTCTCAGGGCCGTGGTGGGAGGCTCTTGGGCGATGTTTGGGTCCTCTTGAGCTGACTCGGGGCCATCTTGGGGGCCCAAGGGCTTTCTTGAAGCTGTCTTGTAGGCCTCTCGGGCCGTCTTGAGCGGTCGGACGCCCAAACAGGCGAGAACCTCAACATTTGTCAAACATCAGAAGGAAAATTAGCTGGGCGAAGGACCCAACCATATGCAGTTGTGAATACCGTCGTTGTATGCACCGCATTGGGAAGAGCTCCCTATGGGGCCACGAAGCGTGTGAGGGGTGTGCCAAAATTTGTCCGGTGGGCGCATGCGAGAGCAGCCATTGGGGCCTTCGGTGGAATTCCTTATGGGGCCACGAAACGCGTGAGAGGTGTGCCGAAATATGTGCGGTAGGCGCATGCGGACGAAGCCACTGGGGCCTTCGGTGGAACTCTCTATGGGGCCGCGAAGCGTGTGATGGCTGTGCCGAAATGGGTGTGGGGAACGCATGCGAACGCAGCCACTGGCGCCCGAAACGCGTGAGGGGTCGGCCGGAATGTGCGTGGGTGACGCATGCGGTCGGTGGCACCGGGGCCTTCGATGGAGCTCCCTATGGGGCCACGAAACGAGTGAGGGGTGTGCCGAAATGGGCGTGGGTGACGCATGCGGGCGGTGGCACTGGCGCCTTCGGTGGAGCTCCCTATGGGGCCACAAAACGCGTGAGGGGTGTGCCAGAATGGGCCTGGGTGACGCATGCGGGCGGTGGCACTGGGGCCTTCGGTGGAGCTCCTTTTGGGGGGGGCACAAAATTCTGAGGGGTGTGCCACAATGGGTTTGGGGGACGCATGCGGGCGGTAGCACTGGGGCATCCGGTGGA